CTTAGCTTAGCATAAAACAGGCAAACAGTGGACATGGTTAGCCTGGCAATCAAGTCAGACTAAGCTCTTCTCTAAAGCTTACCAGATAACATTTTATCACATTTGTTTTCACTGTGTAAAAAGAAAGTGCCAAGACTACACTGTTATAATGGTGAATGTGGGGGTGGGCAATATATCGAATGTACTCGATGTGTTCGTTTGTCCACGTACAATGGTTAAAATGGCTTTATCGTAACCATCGAGTATAAATTGCGATGGCAATATTAAGCTGTCTGCATGTAATTAACTTTGGGGGATTTTTTCTCCCACATGCTGCGAATCGGAATGTTTTCTATCTGCCCTGAGCAGGCGCCACACAGCTTCAATTACAAAAAATAATTCAATTCATTGTGAAATTAAGATCAGCAGTATCATAAATAACCCAAACATTGAAATTCATTTAACTGAGCTTCACTCCTTATTCTCAGTGTCCCACCAGCTCTCCAGTTTAAGATAAACTTCACATCTGGCATCATGTAAGTCAGTTTGTCTCAGAGTGACAGAATTTTATCACTAGATACGTGCGTGTCTGTCATTTATTTGTAACTGTGAAGACTTTTTCACAAGATACTACACCATGATGCTAACTTACACATGTTCACTTCAGGCAAACTTTAAGTGGACTTGAAAAGCCAGTAATGACTATTTGTCCGCACTCTCTTGAGCTGCTACGTGTCCATGACCGAGCACAAACCCTACAGGAAACACTGAACTGAGGAGCATCGCATCCCAGTATAGAGGTTTTTCATGCAACATTATGTGGACTTTACACAAGAGCTGTCCGCCATGTAGGATGTGATACAACTACTAGTTACAAGGGGAAATGTGTATCTGATTGGAGAGTGGTTCCTGAAGGTCACCAGTTGTCACTGGAGTGTCTGTACCAAAAATCTCCTTATGATTTATATATGATAGCAACCACTTGACTATTACTGTTTGCAGACAAACAGATGTCTTCCATTCATATGAAGGTTGCTGGGGCAGCTTTACTTTGGATGGAAGACATGTATTTGTCTGCAAACACTAATAGGCAACCAGCGTGTTCCAGTGACTGTACCAGTCTGCTAGCAACCCAAAGCAGTTGCA